CAGCTAGAGGGAACACAAGATATGGTACATTTTAGACCCTCATCAGTTTTCCAGCACTCATTTTGTTCCCTCGCCTGGACTATGGATGACAACTCTGTGAATCCCACTTCACAACCTGTACTTGACTGGGAGAATATCACATTAATGAAAAGTTTACAGTTCATCTTTGTCATGATCATAAGGAGTGCTGACCAGCACCTGGTTACTAAGGGGATAACTCAGGTACCTAGCAAAGGTGTCAGCTGGGGGGACAGCCAGTAATAATAAAGGTAGGAATTTCAAACTGGAAAAGAGTGGTTTTTCTCTCTCTCATCCTTGTTTTCAGATCAGATAAGTTTCACTCAGGTATTGAGGCAGATGGGAGACGCTTCTCTCTCCAAGAACAGACTTCTTAAAATGTGTAAGTAGAGAAAAGTTTAGCTAGTCCATCAGGGTTTATTGTTTCCCTTGTTTGAGGGTTTGGAAATCACGTCTGAGCTGGCTCATTGTTTTTCTCTTTTGTAACTAAGGATTACAGACCAGGGACTTTCCCTGAATATATATCAAATTGTGGCTATATACCACCTAGCCAATTTACTATGCTTGCAACAGTAGTTTTGTTTTGATAATAAAAGAGTTTTATTTTTATTTTAATTAACTGGTATTGGCAAGGCTGTTCCCCACTCTGGCACTATGAATGCAGAAGCTGGGGCCCGCAAGAGTGCTCCCAAACCTTGCCTCTACAGGCACTGTTTACAAAAACTTCTCCTCAAAATCCTAATACCCAGATTTTAGGGAACTTGCTGCCACTTGTAGCCAGACAGGAACCCCCCCTCCCCCCACACACCCTTTTGCAACATCCATTTTTGCTTGCCCCTCTTAGATGCCTGGAGCACACAGGGCATAAACAGAGCAGTAAAATCAGCATAGTCTTTGAAGCTTTGACAGAAGGCCTGGATATGCTGGCTGCTGTGACCCTGGATGGATGTAAACAGAGATATGCCAATCACTGACCAAGAAGCTGCCGAGAAGTGCCCTTGACTAAAATCCATATTGATATGAACACACACTCATCCGGGGGGGGGGGGGGGGGGGGCAATGGAGGAAGGGGGTATGAAAGGAGGAGGGCAGAGCCTCATAGAAGGACCAAACAGGACCTGGGCCTCAGAGAAGGGGCAGAGATGGGGCAAGGGGTTTGTGTGATTAGAAAGTTGACAACCCTGCACACTCAGAGGCTTCCAGCCAAAACCGTATCCCCTGTAAAATCTATCAAAAAGTGATGATGCCCACTTTATATAGCTGCAATGTCTAAGTCCCTGGATCTGACCCCAAACATGTAGAACATGCCACAAGGGTTTATTTACAAATGAGGAGCCCAGAACTACAATAAGCTCTGTGTGAGCCTGATACGCTGGAGTTGATAGGCACAGAAGGGGGTAAAAATTGTACCTGTATGTGTCCTTTGTCTTAAATGTACACATAGACTTAGAGCTCTTTAAAGATTAAGCTGTTACTTGGTACCATTATTTCTATTTTCTATCTTTATTTTCTTTGTAACCATTTTTAAGATCTATATTTCCTAGCAGTTAAGAAATAGAGCAATAGCCACTGTAACCATATGATTTATAAGGGTTTTTTTTTTAATAAACCTGTAACTGTTTAAGCTTTAACCTAACTCCTTCAGTTGCTGTAACAGAACCAAGCACAATTTAAAAGAACTCCAGCTGGTCATAAGGGACAGATCCAGGCAGAGCTGACCATTTGGATCGTGTCGCTTCCAGAGGACAGATCCGTAGGGGCACCTCTCAGCCTTCCCTAGGCTGCCCGCTGTGAAGGTATCATGTATCCTAGCAGTCAAAGTCTGAGGTGTAATAAGCTCTCCCTGTAAACTCCAGGGCGTCTGTCGGCCTGTTGGCTGCCCACCATGAAGGGACCCCAGTCCTAGTGGTCAAAGACACAGATGTAAAACTTCTCGGGGCACCTGTCAGCCTTCCCTAGGCCGCCCGCTGTGACAGGACCTTGTGTCCCAGCAGTTGAAGACTTGGGTGTATAACACACACACACGCACTGCCCTGACCATTGGCTGACACCACTATCAAGTATTTTGATCCCTGAAACAAACAAACAAAAATAAACAAACAAACAAAAAGGGGTGAACACTTGAAACCAACCTCAGGGGTGCGCCAAGCTCTTTTTCCCCAAAAGAGCTTGAAAAAGAAAAGAAAAAGCAAGCTGTAGTCTCTGGTAGCTGACCCTTCAGTCAGAGGCATGCAGATACACACAGACAGACAGACCTTCCAGGACACAAAGATAAACCAATACCGGTTAATTAGAATAAAAAGAATAAACCCTGATGGATGATCTAAACTTTTCCCTACTTACACATTTTAAGTCACTGTGCTTGTGAGTGGGGAAGAATTGCTTCTCAGAAATGCCCAAGGACAGTGTGTGACTTTCCCGTGTGTGTGTGTGTGTGTGTGTGTGCGCGCGCACATGCGCGCGCATGTGCAGTGAAGGGGAGGGGAGAGGAACCCATAGATATCAAACCTGACCCTGGCTGCTGCTGCTGGCTCCAGCTGGCAGAAAGGCTACAAAACAAATTTTCAAATTTCTTGGTAAATATTTTGCATCATTCTAGAATGTGTCATTAAAGTATAAACCAAAATTAAAACTCAGAATTGAATTGATAATTGGATTTTTCACCTCTTTGGAATTATTTTGTTTGTAGCTTTGGTAGTGAAACTAAGGTAACCATTTTCTCTTAATATTAAGGTGGTGTTATATAGGCAAGTCTATGGAAGAAAACAGTACATGGATAAGTCTTCTTTATCTTACAGCTAACATGTTTTAAAAATGAAAAGGCCCATTGAATGTATGTTAGAAAGACAAGAAGAAATACACACAATGGCTTGTCCTACATTTGCAAATCAGAGGCTGTAGAACAGGTGTGGGCAATAATTTTTTGAGGGGGGCCACTCCAAGATTGTGGAAAATGGTCGAGGGCCGTAGTCCTCCATGATATTAATGGAGATGTGGGGTCTGGGATGGAGGTTGGATACAGAAGGGCATTTGGGGTAAGGGACTGGTGTGCAGGAGGGAGACTGGAGTCTGGGAAGGAGTTGGGATGAAGCAGGCAGTTATGACCTAGGAAACTGGAGTGCAGGGGTTTGGGATGTGAACTAGGGTAGGAGGGGATTGTGATCTGGGGCAGGAGATTGGGGTTCCAGATCTGGGAGCAGGTATGAGTATAAGAGGGGTACAGAGGGTTTGGGTATGTTGGAGGGAGGGGAAGATAGTTGGGGCAAGAAAGGGCTGTGGTGCCAGAAGGAGGCTGTCACCAATAGACTTACTTGCCAAACTAGCCTGTCTGCCTGTCGAGCTTAAAATGTTTCCCAGCCTGCCTGCCTGGCCATGTGCTTCATGAATAACTGAACCTAGGAGAAGGGGTGTGATTCTTCTTAACTGTCTGTTATTCCAACAAGCAGCTCCCATTGTCTGGTTTCTGCCAGAAACTGGCCAACGGGAATGTGCTGTGGGCGGGGCAGCTCCTAAAATTTCCCCCCTCCCCTCCAGTTTAAAAATAGAAATGGAGCCCTACAGCCACATTTCTGCATGGCCACGTTTCTGCATGGTGGCACGTTTCTGCCACGGGGCTGCGAGGCAAGCTGGAGAGCCTGCCTGGAGCTCCACGCTGCCTGCGCGAGCCAAATCTGGTGGCTTGGTGGGCTGGATCTGGCCCATGGGCCGTATTTTGCCCAGACCTGCTGTAGAAGATACAAGGAATTCTTTTTTTTCACTCCCAGTATATCAATAGAGGATGCAGCTATAATATGACTACAATCAATATGGCTTGTATGCAGTAGGCACTAATAGTGTTGCCTGCAGTACTTACCACAACAAATACTGTTGTCTATTTACCACAACAAGTACTGTTATTACTGAAGTAATATGTTGAATTTCAGAATGGTGAACAAATCAGTTTTCACATATATATGTTCCAGTACCAGGCTACATTTACACTTAAAATGTTATAGCAGTAGTGCCACTGTAGTGCTTCAGTATAGACACTTACTCCATTGACAGAAGAACTTCTCCCATCCCTGTACATAATCCATCTCTCCGAAAGACAGCAGCTAAGTATATGAAATAATTCTTTTGTCAACCTAGTGCTGCCTATGCTGGGGGATAGAGTGGCATAGCTATATGTCTCAGAGATGTGGATTTTCACACCCCTGAGTGAAACAGCTATGCTCATCTAATTTTTCAGTGTATACCGACTGGGCTTTAGTGATCAAATATTGCCACCATTTAAGAGTTCTCAGCAACACCTGTGCAGGGGTTTAGGATGATAATTGAAGACTTTTTGCATCCATTTGAGAAGCCAGAGTAGAATTTTAAGTACCGTATTTTCATGCATATAACCTGCAGGTTATATGCGTTTTTACAAATCCCGTACCCCCTCTTCCCCCCCGTGGTGTATACTCGGGTGCGGGGTATACAAAATTTGTTAAACTCACCTGGTGAGTTCCTGCACAGTCTCCAGCCTCTGGGCAGAGGAGCACTCATCCCCCTGGTTCCTGTGCAGCTGCAGAAACCAAGGGGATGAGTGCTCTCTTGCCTGGAGGCTGGAGGCTGGTAGCTGTGCAGGAGTAGGGGTGGTGAGTGCCTGCAGGAACCCCCCTGGCACCATAAATTAATGAATATACCCCCAGCACAGAAAAGTCTTGTATACCCTGCGGGTTATACTCATGCGCGGGGTATACAAGATTTTTTTTACTCAATTTGGAAAAACTACGGGGTATATTAGGGTGCAGGGTATATTCACTAAAATACTGTAGTCAAAATGGAATGTTAGCCAGACACAAGTGTCAGCATCCCTTCTCTCACAAAAAATTCTATAAGCTCTTTAATAAGCACAAATGACTCTGACTTGGACTTCACATCTCAACCAAAAGAAATCAGTATTGTACATGCCTTCCATACTATATTACAGCATTGAAGCAAATCACAGTGTCACTTACAGTTGTGGCAGGTGGCACCACTGTATCCAGTCCCCTCACAAGTACATTTAAAGCTGTCCCACGTTTGGGTGCATTTGCCACCATGTTCACAGTGATTGGGCACACATCTGTCAGGACAAGGAGAAAAAACAATTCAACTACAAGATTTATGAATGGCCAAGTTTTGAGTTTCCCAGGTAATACATCATATCAATGCCAGTTTGTTTTACGTTCATAATGATCCTTATTATTTTAGGGAGATTAGCAGAATTCATAACAAGTTGTGCCAACACAAAAAAGATGATATATCGCAGCCCTGCTATAGTATCTTTTCAAACAAACAGTGGAAAAAGGCGACAATGGTGGGATGCATAAGTTTTTAAAGTCATGTATGACTAGTACCAGGCCAAGAAAAACATCACAAATCATGGATCTTTCTGTTCTGTTTTGCAGAAGAGGCCATGACCATGGATTCAAATCCCACAAGGCACTGAAAGTTAGAAGAGAAGAGCAGAGAGATTCTATTCATCTTTGTCTTGACCAATATGGGATAAGATGGAGGCAGCTTGCATACTGGCTGAGATGCAAGTTACTAAGCAGGCCAGCTAACAAGGGGAAGCAATGTTTAAAAGAGTGGCTAGCCATCCCTACGGAAAGGGGGCCTCCGTGCACTGCCTCCACTCCAAATGTCAGCTCTGCAGCTCTCATTGACTGGGAAGTGAAGCCGACGGAAGCTGTAGGGGGCAATGCCTGCTGGCAGCAGCACACAGACACTCCCTGCCCTTCTCCCCACCTAGGAGCTGTTGCCAGCAGTGAGGGTCCAGGCCTGCCAACAGGAGTGGAGAGAAGGGCAAATGGGGCCTGGCAATTGAAAAGGGCTCAGTGAGTGAGTGAGGGGGGGGATGGAGTGAGCAGAGGAAGGGGCCTTGGAGAAAGAGCACAACAGGGCATGGCTTTCAGGGAAGAAGCAAGGCAGGGACAGGTTTTGGGTTTGCACCACTAGAAAGTTGGCAGCCTCACTGACTGGGCATGTGGAAGCCTTGTCATGCCAGAAGAGCATGTCCAGCAACGCACCTGGCAGCTCGCTGGGCATCAGCCAACACAGGTGCAACATTGCCCAAATATCAGGCAGATTGTATCCACTTGGGCAGGACTTACGAGTCTGTTTGGAGACCCATTGGTTGTTCTGCCCTGGAGCCTGGGATTGCTGTCTGCAGGCAGGCTACTAACTTTGCATTATTAAAACAAACCAGGTGCTTTGAACTTTGGAATACAAGCTTTAACAAGCTTTAATTCACTTGCGGCAAGCATAATTTACCTTTACTCCACCTACTCTCCAACTCTAGCTAAATTATTGCTGGAGAGTTGTTGAGCAAAAGAAAAAGAAAAGGTGGAATGGAAATGAATGAATATATGGGAAATTATATCAGAACATACATTTATTATTTGAAAGTCATAAAATGCAATTTCAAAGATTTGAGTTTGACCCATTTCTTTCCTATCAAAGATTCATTTAAATAGGAATTATCATAATACTTTTGCTTTTTGAAACTATTACTTTTCTGTTCTTGGAGTATGCTTTGAAATCTCATTTCAAAGAACCATTTTTTCCCTTTATTAAATTTCTTTTCAGCCAGTCTCAGGATAGACTCTATTTTCTGATCAAGGGTTAAAGGAATTTTTCTTTCATGTGGAATTTGTCCAAATAATATTTGTAAGCTGCACTTCTGCATTTTTACAGTAAGAGACGATAAAGAGACCTCCTACCAACCAAAACAAATGAAAATATTTTATGGAGACATAGTGCAAATTAAATTATAGTTATCACCAGGATACTTTTGAAATTCATAGCATCCCTGTGACAGCTTACACTAGCCTCTTTGTTAATACCCACAATACACCTTAATACATAATAAAGGTCTATCTAACAGGTTTGGAATTACTAATTTTGGAAACTATTATTGCATGCATCACTTTCATTTTGTAGGGATGTTGCATATGTATCCAGAATAATTTTTATGAGAGAAACACATTACACACTTGGACATAGTGCAGTTTACCTCCTTCTTCAGAACTTGTTTTTATATACACAAAGTAAAAGATGTTTTGTACTATACCATCTATCTACATTCTTTATTATCCTACAATGAATGAGTGTGCCACTGAATTCTGTTAGAGAATTTAAAGAGAAAAGAAACATGCTTAAAGAATTATTTGAATGAAAACGAAAACAGTTTTATACCTTTAATATTAGGGTAAAATATTCTTTAGGGATCTGTTATATATAACAGCAAATTTCCAATTATATGGAAAATTTCAATTTTTCTATAAATCTATGGATGGCTGGTGTTTTGATGATACTTTCAAAGTAGTCCCATTTACATAAATTTGTCCCACAGTTCTGTACATCTAGACAAGTCCTTAATTCTGAATGTAATTTTCTCTTTGTTTTTAAATCCTGTCAGCTACACTCAGCTTTTATTTTCATAACCACACTGTGATTTCATAAACATTGAAACCCTAAATGCATATCTTGCAATATATTTGATAAATTTCCTTCTTCTCTAAAGCTTCTATATGTGTCACTTTGGATGTATTTCCGTCCTTGTTTCTACATGAAAATATATTTGCTTTAAAAGATAATTTTCTATTGCCCCCCAAATAAAAATAAAACAAATTACATTAATTTGTACAGATATTTACATGAAATTTAAATACTATTGCCAATATCCAATTTTGCATTTTATTTCTATATAACTTATTTTTATAGCAGTATGAGTGGTAAAGCTAATGTTTTATTGGAAGCCTAACAAATATATCATCTTAATTTAAGTAAATATGAAAACTAATATGCATATTTATCGACACCATCACCTTCTGCCTGAGCACATTTTTATTTAATTTATTTACATCATTGGTTGAAAGTTTTAAGTCAAATCTGTCCAACAAATCACAACTCCCTATTGATAATTTTGTAGGGAAGCTAGCTTAAGCCAACTTCATCTGAAATATTAATATTTTTACTTTACTAAATATTAAGTTGATACAATTCAATGTGGAAAGTGAATCAAACTATAGGGAATTTTAAGTAGCCTGAATCTAACAACTTAAATATCATTTGGTGAAGACACCAAGATAAATACTTATTGTGATGGAAAACCACAGCCAGACCAGGGCTGTCTCTGCTGGCTCCCTTGGAGGAGCAGTGGGAACTATCTGGAGTTCTCTGCTTGGTGTCTGCTGCCACTGGAGTCCTGCTTTTGACACTGTGACTGTTACTCTTGTCTCTGTGTTTTTATTAATTGTCCCCCATATTTGCTTCAGACGTGGGTTATGAAACGCCTCCCCTTAGTTTGGGGGAGGGACCTTTAGATGAGAGGGGCAAGATTCTCAATAAGTGCCATGACACACTGCTCCCAGACAATCTCCAGTGACTCATCACTCAGGCATTGAGCTGCAGCTTATCTGCACTTTCTCATCATATAATCGGAGCCCCAGCGACTTACCCCTTAGGTATTCTGCAACAGAGCCCAGGTCAGATGACTGCCAGACACATGTGTTCATTGAACCTACAAAAGCTGTAGGTTAGTTAGGAACAATCCCGCAGTGTTACAAAGTCCCTAGCCTTCCTGCCCAGCTCTGTTCCATCCCACTTCAGCTTTGTCTGTTATGCCCTCTTGTAATCATGCTCTAGCACTCCATCCCTTCCTCATGACCCCACCCCTCGCTTCAACTTTTGGTCTGGAGCCCAACTATAGCTACAATCCTAATTTGTGGTTTGTTTATAGACTCTGACCTCAATTCTGTCCAATAGCCTGTCCCCAGATACCAGTTTCACATTGCCCTCACTCTTGTCCTGAGTCTACAGCCAATCCAACCACAAGGCGTGACCAGATAGAATCCATAACCTGACACTTACATTGTTGCAGAAAGTGTAAGCATTTATGCTCTATTTGCACTTGAATTGCATCCTTACACAATTTCGTGCTTTAATTTCTTTTTTGTGATATAGACCTCCATCATACTTCACCTTATGGCTCCCTCACATCTCCAATATCTTCTAATCCAGAGGTGGGCAAAAGGGCCTCTGCCACTCCCCCGCCTTCAAGTTCCAATTGGCCTGGGGGTAGGGGGAGCATGCAAAGTTTCCTCCGCCCTGCCCTGGGAGTAGAGAAGCAGGGAGGTATCCTGGCCCCACCCGTTCTGCTGAGGCCCCACCCCTTCTGGTGTGGTTCTGGGCCACTTCAAAAAGCTCTGACATGGCCCCCGACAAAAAAATATTGCCCATTCCTGTTATAATCTTTCAATCAGCACCTCTACAACACACCAAACATACACCCCCATTTTGGCTCCAATGTACTAAAATTCTCATCCATGTCTTCTGCTTTTGTCTTGACTCTTTCATTCTCTTTGGCCTCTCATTTCCCAGCTCTCCTGATGCCAGGTCAAAGAAATATGGCCATAATCTCTCCATTTTTAAATAAAACTATTGACTGTCCATTGTTTTCAGGGCAAAGTTCAGTATTACCCTCCTTACTGAAACCATCTTGGACTTTTCTGCAAATTTTCACATGAACATTTTTATCTATTTTCTATTTTGTCTACTTTTATTTAGCACTGGCCATGTCTATTTCTTCACAGACTCTTGTCAACTTTCATGTAAGTAAAGTTCCTGCCATGTTACAGTTTCTTGTATTTGTCACTTACTCAATTTTGCGGTTCGTCACCTATCACACGATAGCACATATTTTGGGCCTTTCCTTTTATGGTATATCTCACTTTCTTTCTATGGTATATTTTTATTTTAATTGTGTGACTGTGTTATTTACACTCGGTTGGGTGAAGTCATTTCTTTTATTGGACCAGCTTCTGTTGGTGAGAGACACAAGCCTTTGAGCTTACACAGAGCTTTACTTCATGTCTGGGAAATTTACACAATGTCACAGCTAAATACAAGATGGAACAGACTGTTTAGCATAACTAGCTCACTCATATTTCATAGGAACCATTCAAGAATCATCAGTTCTAATTCAAGGTCTCAGTCTTATCTTCAAAGATCTGAATGTTTGCATCCCCATATAGCTAGCAGACTGGGTAAGGCTCCTGGATGAGGGTCACAGACAATATA